ACACACACACACACACACACACACACACACACACACACACACACACACACAAAAGCACACATAAGGGGGGGGAAAAGAAATACAGAAAAAATCGCTCCTTGTGGCACCGCCACGAGGCGCGATTTTAGGCCTTCCACACTCCACCTTAGCCCTTCCCCCCTTCCCCGTCCCCCCATCTTTCCCCCATCCATGACATGTACCGCTATCCCTCCCACTCTTCCCCTTTGTCACTGTACCATCCTTACCCGTTGACTGTCCCTTCCCTCCCACGTTGTGCCATGTCACATGCGCCCCCTCCTCTTCCTCCAACTCCACCCGCGCTATCGCTCTGCACCTCTTCAAATTCTTTCCTCCCCTCGTCCTACTGGGCTTCTGCTGCCCTTCTCTCCCCTCCTTTCCCCAATTCTCACACGCCCCTCTTCATTCTCCGTCTCTCACCAATCCATTTGTCTCTCTCTCTCTCTCTCTCTCTCTCTCTCTCTCTCTCTCTCTCTCTCTCTCTCTCTCCACCTTTACCTGACCTCTTCCCTTGCTCCGTACCCCACCCAACCTCTGCCCTCCCTTCGCCCGACTTCACAATGTCGTTTTTCCCCTTCCTCCCGGCCTCCTTCCACTTCCTCCTCTTCCACTTCACGCTTTTTCCCATGCTTGTCTCCCCCTTACCTCTTCCCTTGCTCCACACGTCACTCAACCTCTGAAGTACGCTCTGCTTTCTGTCCTCCCTTCACCCTACTTCTCCCTGCCGCCTCCCTTTTCTCCCGGCCTACTCTGGACCTTCTCTTAAACCTCCCTCTGCCCTCCCTCGCCTGGCCACTTGACTCCCTTTCCTTCGCCCAATGTCCACCTGACCTCCTTCCCTCTATCTCCTCCGCCCGATTTGCACTAACCTCCTCCTTCCCCCAATCTCCTTCCTCCCCTTCCTTCCTTGGCCCAGTCTCCACCTGACCTCCTGCTTCCGCCCTACTCTCTGCCACCTTTCCCCTCCCTACAGGGCTCCTCCACACCTTCTCTTCAACCTCCCTCTGGCCTCCGTCCGCCTGGCCGCCTCATTCCCCTTCGCTCGCCCCCTTCATTCGCCTGATCTCTGTCTGACCTCCTCCTTACCTCGATCTCCTCCCTCCCCTTCCTTCGTCAGTCCAATCACCACCTGACCTCCTACTTCCATTCCTCCCTCCGTCCTACTCCCTACCTCCCCCTTCCTCCCTCGACCGGCCGCCCTTCCTTCGTAACGCTCGACGTAAGAAATACTTCTTTTCCTTTATCCGGTGGACGTAAATGCGCCATTTGTTATCAAGATCGCTCCATTTCTTTTAAGATCTAAACATTGTTGCACATGCGCAAGAAGGAGAGAGGGAAATCAGGAGAGAGAAAAACGCATTTCACCCAACACACTTCCTTCCTCGCACCCTCTTTGTCCTTGTCGGTCTCTTCCACCACAAGAAGAAGATGTACACCAGCAAGACCAATGACAAATCCCCCTTCTCTCTCCACCTTCCTCCTCCTCCTTCACTTCGCCAGTCTTATTCTTCTTCCAATAATAATAATAACAATGAGTGGATGAACCAGAATCAATATCCGAAGTTCCCCCTTACTGCTGACACAATAACAACAACAACAAGGTCCACCATAGCTATGGCTTCCCCCCTTCTTCCACCTCTCACAAGCCTAGGCTACGGCGGGCAACTGAGGGCTCGGCCCCTCTCTGTGCAAAGGACAACACAAAGCACCATAGCCAGGTAGGTGCCTCGCCACTCTCCTCCTTCGCCCCCTTCTTCCTCCTCCTCAGGCTGGGCTGCTCGCCATAGCCAGGCTGAGCGCCCAGCTGCCCTTCACCTCCAGGCAGCGCTGTACAAGTCCAGCGCTTGGCTCAGCAGCATGTCGCCAATCCTTGCATACCGCAAATGAGGAGGAGCTACTTGCTCCTCCGGAAGATATAGCGGCCTACTGGCCTCTTGGGCGGTGACTTCCTA